CATTCTCCGTGGATAGGGCAATCTTCAATTTTTCTGTCCAGGAAAGAATTGGTAGGGGAGAATCAATTTCGGGAGATGAAGAAGAAGGTGTGGACGCTTCTGTTTTCAAGGATGATACGGGAGCAGAAGGAACAAAGACATTAATATAATCAAGCCAGTCAGAAGAACAGATCTTCGCCTTCTGGGCTAAGAATGATGGGTTATACCCTTGTGTTTCTTCTGGGCGAGGAGCAGAGTGCACTATCTTTGTAGGCATGGAAGATGTATACCATGCTACAAGAAGATTCTCCTCCAGACTACGCCGATGGTCAATGGGCACATAAGGATAAACAACTGAACTTCGAGCATAGGAGGGAAACTCTAAAGGGTCAGTGAACTCGACAAAATGGTGGTTGATTCGCTCCTTTAAATCAGAAGTCTCAGGTACTGACCAGCTTGTCCAGTCAGAACCTCCAGAAGAGCCAGAGGAGGAAGCAGCTGCAGCTTTATCCCATACAGAAATTTGCGAAGAAGAGTTGTTCAAATCCATATTTGTAATTTTACGAATCAGAGGTTTGAGAGCAGATTGTTCGAACTGTAAAGGTAGGTCAGGAGGGAAAATTCTTATGTCTTTGTTTGTAGCCTTCTGAATCGAAGGATTAAGAGCAATGTGTTCGTAATCCAAAGGTCGGTAATTTGCAAAGGCGTCCATGACCTGAATATAAAAAGGTGGGTAAAGGTGACTAATAAATGCATGCTTTCGACGAGGAATGGCATTGACATATGACTCTTCGTATGCTTCATCATTGGAGGAAAGAGTTAATTTGGCCATAAAATGTAGCAGTCTGTTCGAATAATAAGACAACGAAAGTACTTAAAGGATCAAGACAAGAGTATTAATACAGATGGTGTGAGACAGTTGCATTTCTAGGAAGATGCAAAACCCATGCACGTTCTAAGACGTGGGAAAAGGGACTCTGATCCACTAATATCACCAAGTCTTGGGTATATTAGTGCGGGGGGTAATGTTGGCTACACATTTTGTACTAAGCCAGTGACAATCCGACGCGTGGCGAAGCAAGGGTAATATGGGGAGACCAGGTAGGTCTTCGATCCTGATCATACACGTGGCAATTAATATTGGTTGTTATAAGATCTGAGTAGTAGCAGATCAACAAAGAGACGTACAGTGACGTGGCTTCAACGGTTGCTCACATTTCAAATTCGAATATAAGGGGGAAGCCTAACTGCAAGTGAAGGCGTAGTGGAACTACTTATAAGGTAGCATGATCAGCAACTACGGAGGAGCAGTTCGACGGTTTGAAGTACAATTCGATGGTTATCTTCGGAGAGTATAAATAGCAGGAAGGACTTCAGAGAAGAGCAAAATCACTCATTTTGACACAACATGACTTCATTTTCAAACCCCATGTTCATTTATTTCGTTTCCACCAAAAACCCCTCTTTTACATTTCACCCAAACCCTAGGCTTGGCTCAAAATATTCCCAAATCCAACCATTGTTACACAACCACAAATAACTAATTTAAAAATCATAACAAAGTGAAAAAAATCCCTACCTCAAAGAGAGAAGATGCGCCAAGTAAGAGAGAAACCCCAAAGATACCGAAATCCAACTCTAGTCAGGTCAAAGTGAAGATCTTGAGAAACTCTACCTCTTTATCAAAGGGAGTAGGGTGGAGAAATCACTAGATCTATGGGGAAATATAGAGAGAAGGTAAGTTTAGAGAGAGAGAGTCTTAATCTAGGTTTTTAGAAAGTTTTAGAGAGAGAGAGGGGGGGATGAAAAAATGAAATAAAATGTCACTTTCGCGATTTGATATACGCATAGTCTGCTCGAGTGGAAGAGTTGACGCTCGAGCGTCAGACACAAAAATTTGTTCCGCTTGAGTGCAAAAAAGAGAGCCGCTCGAGCGCAGAATACACACGTTCAGTACTTTTGCAGACAACAGACAAACCGCTCAAGCGTAAAAAGGGATACTCGAGTGCCCACCCGCTCGAGCGTAGGAAACGCCATTCGAGTGTGGAAAACACTCCTCTAGTATTTTGCAGACGTGCAAAGTACTGAGTGTTTGCAAACCCCGCTCGAGCAGAAGACCAAAATTCTGGGCAACACAAGATTTGAAAACTAAGTAACCAACCTGTTCCAAGCACAGTCAAAATGCCCAAATAACCAAATTTAAGAAAGAAAAAAGAGAAAAAGACAATGAACAACATTCAGAAATCATAAACCCGAATCTGGAGTACAACAAATGACGGGTCAAAACTGGAATCGCTATAATAAGTAACTTGCTGAAGAAGTATGAAAATGTACCGTTTCATGCTTAAATAATTCGAATTAACCAAAACTCAAAGAACAAAAGTTGTACATAATCAAATTTTATAAGAGGCAATGCGAACGAATTTAGTAGAAACTGAACAAGTTGAGAGAAAAACTTGATAGAAGAACCCAGACGGAATTCAACCAAAAAAAATTGAAACTGAAAACGAAAAGAAACTGCCCTAAGATGATTCTTTTCAGAAAAGTTTAAAACATGAAAAGCGTTCAAAATACTGTTTTACTTCAGTTTTCACGAAACCAATAAAAATGAGTTCGTTTCGTGGGTTAAAACAACAACAAAAATCTGTATTATTAAAATAAATAAAAACTAGGGATTTTTATTGATAAATCCCATTTAGAAGTGTTTTAACCCAAGAAGCCTATGAAGAAATTTTTTAACCCATTTAGTCCCATGTATATATAGTTTTATTCCATAAAGTTCTTTTTCTTGATTTACATTATTTTCTTGGACACTTATGCCCTTATATTTAATTTTGATACCCTTATAAATATTTTTTGAACGGTTAGCAATTTATGATGTGAACATTCATATTTTAAAATTCACATTGGTAGGAATGTAAAATTGGCCCGTGGGCGGCCCGAAACCCGCCCCCGAGCCGGGGCGGGCCCGGCCCGTTGACAATGCGAATATTCACATTGACATGTTAACATTCACATTAATAGGAGTGTAAAATTGGTCTGCGTCCCGTGGCGACGCGAAACTGGCCCGCGGTCCATGGGAGGCCCGGGACGGGCCTAGTCCGGCCCGTTGACAATGTGAATATTCATATTGACATGTTAACATTCACATTGATAAGAGTATAAAATTGGCCCGTGGTCCATGGGCGGCCAAAAGCTCGCCCGCCGCCCGGGGCGAGCCTGGCCCGACCCGTTGACAATGTGAATATTCACATTGGCATGTTAACATTCACATTGATAGGAGTGTAAAATTAGCCCGCCCCTCGTGGCTGCCCGAAACCCGCCCACGGCCCATAGGCGGCCCAGAGCGAGCCCGGCCCAGCCTGTTGACAATGTGAATATTCACATTGACATGTTAATATTCACATTGATAAGAGTATAAAATTGGCCAGCGACCCAGGGCGTGCCCGACCCGGCCCGTTGACAATGTGAATATTCATATTAACATGTTAACATTCACATTGATAGGAGTATAAAATTAGCCAGCGGCCCAGGGCGGGCCCGACTCGGCCCGTTGACAATGTGAATATTCACATTGATATGTTAACATTCACATTGATAGGAGTATAAAATTGGCCAGCGTCCCAAGGCGAGCCCGACCCGACCCGTTGACAATGTGAATATTCACATTGACATGTTAACATTCACATTGATAAAAGTGTAAAATTGGTTAGCAGCCTAGGGCGGGCCTGATCCGGCCCGTTGACAATGTGAATATTCACATCGACATGTTAACATTCACATTGATAGAAGTGTAAAATTAGCCCGTGTCTCGTGGCTGCTCGAAACCCGTTCACGGCCCAAGGGCGGCCCGGGGCGGGCCCGGCCTGGCCTGTTGACAATGTGAATATTCACATTGACATGTTAATATTCACATTGATAAGAATATAAAATTGGCCTGCGGCCCATGGGCGGCCAAAAGCCTGCCCGCCGCCTGGGGCGGGGCTGGCCCGTTGACAATGTGAATATTCACATTGATATGTTAACATTTACATTGAAAGGAGTGCAAAATTAGCCCACGCCTCGTGGCTGCTCGAAAGTTGCCCACGGCCCATGGGCGGCTCAGGGTGGGCCCGGCCCGGCCTATTGATAATGTGAATATTCACATTGACATGTTAACATTCACATTGATAAGAGTATAAAATTAGCCAGTGGCCTAGGGCGAGCCCGACCCAGGCCGTTTGCAATGTGAATATTCACATTGACATGTTAACATTCACATTGATAAGAGTGTAAAATTGGCCCGCAACCCGTGGGCGGCACGAAGCCCGACCGCAGCCCGAGGCGCGCTTGGCCCGACCCGTGACAATGTGAATATTCACATTGACATATTAACATTAACATTGATAGGAGTGTAAAATTTGCCCGCTGTCCGAAGCTTGCCCGCGGCCCGGGGTAGGCCCAACCCGTTGACAATGTGAATATTCACATTGACATGTTAAAATGCACATTGATAGGAATGTAAAATTGGCCTGGGGCCCGTGGGCTGCCCGAAGCCCGCCCACGGCCCGGGGCAGGCTCATTTCGGTCCGGGCCCGAGCATGTCCGAGACCTTAGGTTAGGGCCTAGGTCATCACTTTGAAGCCCGCCCTGGCCCATCGCCTGCTTAAGGCCCATTCAAGGCTCGGTCCGATGCCCAGCCCAACCCGCCCGATGTTCAATGTATTTTTTTTGTAGAAAATAATAAAATTTTGATAGAAAAAATTAAAAAGAATTAAAAAAAAATGGCCAGGCCCGCCCAAGCCCGACCTAGGCTCGAGGCTAGGCCCAGGCCCACCGGCTTGACCCGAGGCTCGATCTATCAGCCCGTCCAAAGCCCGAATACCCTTGTGCTAGGGCTAGGGCTTAGGCCTAATTTTTTGGCCCGTGGGCCGGCCCGGGAAAGGCTCGTTTGGGCCCAGGCTCGAGCCTAGTCCGAGACCCTAGGCTAGGGCCTGAGCCATCACTTTGAAGCCCAGCCCGGTCCATTGGCCTCGTTAAGGCCCATTCAAGGCTCGGTCCGAAGCCCGGCCCGCGCTGAGGTCTAGTGTCTTTTTTTGTGAAAAATAATAAAATTTTGGTAGAAAAAATTAAAAAGAATTAAAAAAAAATGGCTAGGCCCGCCCCGGGCCATGGGCGGGTTTCGGGCAGCCACAAGGCACGGGCTAATTTTACACTTCTATCAATGTGAATGTTAACATGTCAATGTGAATATTCACATTGTCAACGGGCTGGGCCGGGCCAGCCTTGGGCCTCTGGCCAATTTTATACTCTTATCAATGTGAATGTTAACATGTTAATGTGAATATTCACATTGTCAACAGGCCGGGCCAGGCCTGCCCCGGGCCGCCTACGGGCCGTGGGCGGGTTTCGGGCAGCCACGAGGCGCGGGCTAATTTTACACTCCTATCAATGTGAATGTTAACATGTCAATGTGAATATTCACATTGTCAACAGACTGGGCACATTCTAAAGGAGTGGAATCAAACAAATTTGGTGCTTATTCCAAAAGTCCCAAACCCTGAGAAATTGTCTTAGTACCGTCCAATTAATCTAAAGATCATCTCGATAATTCTCGCCAATCGGCTTAAACCCATTCTACAACAAATTATCTCGCCTTACCAGTCTGCCTTTGTTCCTGGTAGAATGATACAAAACAATATTATTGTAGCTCACAAGGCATTTCATCATTTGAAGCTAAAAAAAAGAGGTGAGGTGCATGAGATGGCGATAAAGCTCAATTTTGACAAAGCTTACGACCGGGTGCAGTGGGATTTCTTGAAAACAGTTGTGGAGAAGTTGGGGTTTGATAGCACATGGGTTGGTTAGATCATAGAAGTTGTGTCTACGGTCTTCTTTGCTATTTTTGCGAATGGTTTGAAAAGGGCTGCATTCATCCCATCCCAGGGTCTACGACAATGAGACCCCATTTCACCGTATCTTTTTGTTTTGATCATTGAGGCCCTATCCCTTTCCCTCTCCAAGAGACGGCATGCATTGCAACTTTCTGGGATTAAGCTTAAACGGGGGTGCCCCACTCTCACCCACCTTTTCTTTGCAGATGACACACTTTTCTTCGCCAAAGCAAATCAGAAGGATTGTTTGGCTCTCAAATCCATTCTTGATGAATATAGCACTGCCTTGGGCCAACTTATCAACTTTGACAAATCTGGAATTGTGTTCTCTGCAAACTCATTGGCATTTGTTAGAAACGAAGTGTGCTCTTTATTAGGGATACGACTTGTCAGTGGAGGCTTACAGTATTTGGGCCTACCATCCTCTTAGGGAAGATCAAAATCTGTTGCATTGGGCTTTCTTATGGAATGAGCTGTGAGTAAGATGCAAGGCTGGAAACAACATCTATTGTCACAAGTTGGTAAGGAGATTCTTGTCAAGTCTGTTATGCAAGCCATCCCTGCTTATGCCATGGCTTACTTTGCCTTCCCAAAGAAGTTCTGTGAGCGATTAAACTCTTACATTAATAACTTTTAGTGGGGTGGTGACCCCATGGATAGAGGATTGCACTGGACAAGTTGGGACACCTTGACTTTGGCTAAATCCAAAGGAGGGATGGGCTTCCGCAACTTCAAATCTTTCAACCAAGCCTTGCTTGCAAAACAAGCTTGGCGACTTCTAAAGAACCCTCACTCTCTTTGTGCCCAAGTTTTGAAAGGAGTTTATCATCCCCATTCCGATTTTCAAGATGCGTCTAGGACATGAAGGCCTTCCTAGGCCTGGGCCAGCCTTCTTAAAGGTCGCGAACTTCTTGACAAGGGGTTGCGTTGGCAAGTTGGGAATGACAAGTCAATACATTTTTGGGATGACAAATGGGTGCCCCAATTTCACAGCTTCAGAGTTGAAACTCCAAAGCCAGTTGGATGTCACATTCAGTTTGTGAAAGATCTGATTAACCCACACCGAAAAGAATGGGATCACCTCGCTTTTCGCAACCTGCTGCGAACAGATGACATGTATGCCATTGAAACAATACCTATTTCTTCAGAAGACCTAGACGATTCCCTTGTTTGGCACTACACTAAATCTGGGATGTATAAATTTTGGAGTGGTTATCAAATTGCGGTTGGGGAACCACACTCCAACTCACATACTGCGTCTTCTTCAGCCACAATTCACAAGGATTTCTGGAAAATTATCTGGGAGCTGCCTATTCCACCCAAGATTCGTAACTTTTGGTGGAGGGTGTACTGCAATAAGCTTGCCACTAAAGAAAACCTGTTCCATCGATGATGTACCTCATCCCGGTGTTGTTCTATTGCGGTGCTGACTTCGAATCTGTTGAATACCTTCTTTTTCATTGTGCTTAGACTCGAGCGGTTTGGTTTGGGTGTGATCTGGGCCTTCTCATAGGACAAGGCTTTATCTCTTCGGCGAGGACTTAGACCCAATCCATCATTGAACCCAGCTTGAATCATAGGGACAGGAAAGCCATGATTAGTAAGGCAGCCACAGTGGGATGGTTTATCTGGAAAGGGCGCAATGAGTGGGTGTTCAACCAAACCCCAGTGAATCCTCTGCACGTTATCAGTCAAGCTTCTTCTCTATGGAGAGAGCTCAGTTGGGTGCCCCCCTAGGATGATGCCTCTTTTCACATCTCCCCCAGGATTGTTGGCTCTACTTGGACTCCGCCCCCTCAAGGCATGCTGAAAGTCAATTGCAATGCCAGTCTCTCTCATGATGGACAAAAGTCCTCTATTGTAGTAATTCTCAGAGATTGGACTTGTAAATTGGTTGATGGGATTGTAACCTCTGTTAGGTCGTCCTCTGTTTTACAAGGCGAGGCGAGGGCAATAAAGTTAGCATGCTCACTCCTTCAGACTCTTGGTCTGTCTCATGTCCAAGTGGAAAGCGCTAAGTGCCTCAGAACTGGGTCCTCATTGGGAAAGCAGAGCGTGTTTCCATGACATTCGAGCTATGGGCAGCCGATTATCTCTTGCCTTTTCTTGGGTTCCCAAGACAGCAAATCGTGTGGCCCATTGGCTGTCCAATGCTCACCTCAATGACCACATCCCCTTAGATTGGGATAGGAACCTTCCTTCTGTTATTAAGGCCCTTTAGGCCTTTGATTTTTCTCCGTAGCCTAAGAGCCTTTTCCAGTTCCAAAAAAAAAAAAAAGTCTTTCTCAAAAAAATATACATAATTTTTGCTATATTTGAGGGTTGGAGAGAGAGAGAGATTGGATTTGCTTATGGGAGTTGGGGAGAGAAATTAGATTTGCTTGTGGAAAAATTACGTAGGATTAGCCATCTAATGAGAATATCAATCATTCCTTGTGATGGGATTAGTAGTTGCATGGGGTTATGATGAGTGATTAGAAGACAATTTTAATCCTTATTTTACGTAACTAATAGAGTTGTTTTGTATGTGATTAGGATATTTTTACATAATTTAATAAATTTAATTTTAAATTATTAATACCATCATATTAGTAAACAAATAAATATATTTTATCTTACATTTGTTAATTAATATCCTAACATGAATAACCTCATCACTTAATCTTAACATATTTATAATCTCATCTGACAAATAAACATGACTATAGTTCAATAACCATAAAATTAGCAAGTCGAGTTTTGCTTGATGTCTACAAGTCAAACCCAAACATAACCTTAGGCCTCATTTGAGAACATGTTTTTTTAGTAACTTTTTAATTTTTTAGTTAAAATATGATGTAAAAAAAATCAATATGTTTGGGGAAGAAATTTTTAACCTTTTACAAAAAAATGTGAAAGGAAATAATATAAATCAACAATGATTCATCCCACTAATTTGGGAGTATTAATGGACCACTAATGAGGTGGAAATTTAAAAAAAAAAAAACACACACACACACAAAAGTAAAACATCCCATCATGTGAGACCCGCGAGCAAGGATCCTCTAGAGTAATTTTTTCCTAAAGTTTCCTAAAGTGTTATATTGTGTGGTTGAGATTTACTGACAAGTCACATCAATTTTTCTGATGTGACTTGCCAGTAAATCTCAACCACATAATGTAGCACTCTAGGAAACTTTAGGAAAATTTCACTCTAGAGGATCCTTGGTGGAGACCCGCACCACTTTAAAACTATTAGTACTCATCTTTTTAGTGGTTTCACTCATTTTTGTAATCAACAATGATCTAGAGCTCTAAAAGTAGAGCTCTAAAAAGAGTTCTACTAAGATGGCATGTCCCATAAAAAAAAAATTCAAGCTAAAACATCACACCAAGCTGGACCCATATAACTCCACATCATTAGTGCATGATTTAAAGCTCTTGTCCTACAGCTTTCAAGTATTTTTCTTTTTGTAATATAAATAAAGTAAATATGAGTAAAATGATAGTTTTGCCCTTCTAAAATTTGTTGCGCATGAGCATGTGACTTCACCTGACATATGTCAGGTGAAGTGATGCAGTAGCGGTACAAGCAACAAATCGCCTATATACCTGGGAAACATGAAATTGTTGGCACCTACTGTTGGTATACATATAAAAGACTTCATGGAAAGGAGGGGTAAAAAGGTCATTTAACCTATGCTAAGGCCACAGATCAATGATTGCAACATAGAGTAGATGTGTAGGATAAAATTGTAAATATTTTTACATTTTTTGTTTAATAAAATTTTGATTTTTAAGTCAAAATAGACGTTGCCGGCCTAAGAATTTGATAAGAGTTGTAAGAATTGAAATCTTAAGTTTCACTTAAGATTTTAATCAAAACAGACGTTTGTTAAGCGACGATTTTAATCAAAAATTTAAAAAGTTATTAAAAAAATTAAAAAGATAATAATTTATACAAAAAAATCAAAGATTCACTTTTCTCTACTTTTAACATATCTTTTTGTTAAAAATTAAAAAGTCATTCCAAACATACTAATTTTTTTACATCATATTTTAGTAAAAAAATTAAAAAATTACTAAAAAATATATTTCCAAACGAAACCTTGATAAGATTTTTTCATTTTTCTTTATTTTTGAGCTGGGTGGACATTGATTTTTGGCTGAAACTTTCTTCATTTTTAGTCACGTGGAAAATGCAATCTAAGCTGAAAATAAATATAGAAATATAATAATTAATTTAAAAATACAAATACTAAACATTAAAATAAAACACATACCTCATCGTATGTGTGAGATAGGCCTTTTATTTTGTGTTTAATGTCTGTATTGTTAGGTCAAATTTGATATACTTTAAATAATTTATCTTTTATTTTTTTATCTTTTTTTATCACATTATCTTTTTATTTTTTACACATCATTTTATAAAAAAATAAAAAATACACTTATTTAAATTATACCAAATAACCCTTTAATATTACTCAAATTATAACTGCTAGTAATTAAGCATTACAACGGCAAAGAGGACAAAAACATCATCATCGAGTCAATGAAGTTTGACTCTAAACACCAACCGTCCATTGGCTCAATCAAAGTTTGACAGATCCCCACCTGATGTTGACACGTCACACAACAACCATCTGATCTTGCCACGTCACCAACCCCACTTCAAGATACACATTGCATGAACTCCATATCAGTCTCCAAACCAGCCATAGTCTCCGGCGACAAAACCACCTCGAGATCAACGCTTCCGCCGCCATCTCGTCCCGGAAAGGCCGAGATCTTGCCGTCGAATTTGTTGGCCCTACCACTCCTCACCGCCATGGGTCGGCCCCACCCGAAATCATTGTCGTACATCGGAAATCTCGGAGAGCTACCCATCGTGATTGATGCACCGTCGGGGTTCCCTAGCGGAAACAACCTAGGGTTACTCTCCCAATCCTTCACCCCCCTGCGCACCGTAGCATCGTCGTGCGCAACAACATTCTGGTGCAACAGATCCCCGCTCCAGTTCAAATCCCGAGATAAGAGTTCACCTACTGAAGCAACGGTCGGGATGCTCTGTATCGCGTTTCCGAAATACAACGGGTCGAGCCGCGGCTCCAGCCGATGGCGACAGTTAACTGCCATACGAAACGTCGTCGTTTTGTTTCCATCGAGTTTCCGAGCGCGTGTCACCGAGCGCCACAGCTGAGCGCAGAGCGACTGGAACGATGAAATCTCAGCCGTCCGATTTCCGTTAATCACGCCGTTAGTGACCGTCCAACTGTCGTTACACTGTTTCCCAATAATTTCGGTGGTTAGTTTTTTATTGGCTTTCAGTTTCATCTTCAGGATCGATTCTCTGCTGAAATGGAAGATTCGTTCCCTCAACGGCTCGTCGCCGGAAAAAGTCGCCGACGGTCCGCCCTCCGGGAACCGGAGAACCGCCGGAGAATCGAAGACGGTGTTCCGGCAAAAGTCCGGCGACTTGGAGATGTTCTTGGCTCCTCTGCAGATCTCGGCGAAGGTGTTGAAGAAGTTCCAGAACGACGTGCCGTCCGTGACGGCGTGATTGACGGTGCATCCGACGAAGATTCCGTCGCCGAGCTCCGTCACCTGTGTTGGAAAAACAGTATATAAAAATTGACAGAAAGAAAACGAAACAGAAAAACCAGACTGATTTGGAAAACAGTTTCTGTGCACAACAAAATCTAAATAAACCCAATTAAATTTTCACATCAAATAAAATTAATTCTAAACTTAGTTACCAATATTCAATCAAAATTTATCTATTTTTTTTTTTTTTTTTTTTTTTTTTTTTTTTTTTGAGCATTCGAAAATATAGTTCTGTTAAGAAGCATTTCAAACGAGTGACTAATTATATATATGGAATTTATAAATTTCCTTTACCAAAGTCACCCAACTCTCGTACATGATAGGCGGGTCATATTGCTGGATTACAAGCTCATTAGTTGGTGATTTTAATTTTTTTTTTAAACAAATTAAAGTTGGGTGTTGATTTATGCATAAAGGGGAATATTGACCTATCCAAATTTTGGCATTTTAACTTTTCGTACATGAAAGAGGGGTCATATCTCTTTATTACAAGTCCATTGGCTGGTGAATTTAATTTTTTTTTTTTTGTAAATTAAAATTTAGTGTTCATCTACGCGTATAGGTGAATATATGTTGCATGAGCTGCCACTGACTCACCTAAATTTTGGTTCAAAGTTAGCCCCAAAAAAAAAACTGAATTTTTCAAAATCAAAACCATTTCTAACAACCTGCACAGCGGCCAAGGGCTTGTGGTGGCCGGCGTAGCTAAGAGTGTCGTCGAAGGTGAAGAACTCTTTGAAGCAATTGGGAACATCAACAGGGCTTAAAATGTGGTCGATGAAGATGTGTTTGGCTTCGGCGTGAACAAATTCGATGCCAGAGTCATTGCAGAGGATGTGGAGGTGGCCAGATGGGTCGGTAGAGAGGCGGCCGGCGAGGGCGGGGAAGTGGGAGAGAGTGGTGGAGAGAGAATGTTGGAGGAGAGAGAGGAGGGAGGAGATGGGGAGTGGTGGTTGAGAGAGTAAGACACCCTTTTGGATGTATTGGCATGAGAGCATTGGGAGATCAGAGACAGAGAGTTTTAGAGACTTGATTGTGGATTTGTGTTGTGGGAAGACAATGCAATTGGAGATGATTGACACTGAAGAAGAAGGCATTTTGATCAATTTTTAAGTTTGATGGCTCTTATAGTTTGTGGGTTTTATGAGAGTGCGTTGGGGTTATATATAGATATAGATATAGATGAGGTGTGTGTGGGCATGGATATTATTTGGGGGAAAACACTGCAATGCACTTCAGTAGTAGTTTCCTGGGTAGTGGCCACCAATCAATGGTCTATTATTTATTATTTATTATTTATCATTTTTTATTTTTCGATATAAATGTTATAAATGATATAGATTGCGATTATTAGTTAGATTAATTTTTGTATAAATAATTACACAAAGTATCAAATAAAATGAATAATTTAAATTGTCAAAATGAGATTCATGATGAACTCTATAGGCTCGAATAACACCTTTCAATTCAGATTATGAACCGAATATAATTCACTCCCTCAATTTTTATTTATTTTTTAAGTATAAGAAGTTATATGTAATTGATTGTAAAAATAATAAAATGATAGTTCGACATTCAATTATGTTTATACACGTGCTTTTAACAAGATTTTTTTTTACATTGCTCAAAGAGGAAAGGAAAATGGGAAAACGTTATGTATTGTGTTTCACATTTTATATTGAAAATGAGGTGGATATAGGGACGGATGCAGGATTCGAATTTTGTGAGAGTGAAAATATATGTACCTTTTAATTGAAAAAAATTATTATAAAAATTTAAAATTTTGTTTTATACCGGTTTAAAAAAGTCAATAATATTACTATTAATCGAACAATCTTTATCAATCTAATTGAGAATATAAATATAATTGGAGATATAATCACCACTTTCGCAGTATATATAAAAACATCTATAATACACTCGACATTAAAACATTAAGTAAAATCTTCCTCAACAAATGTGGAAAAAAAAATTAAAAAAAAAAAACTTGTTATAAAATCATCTTACATCCTAGTTTCAAAATATTTCATTGTTGAAAATGTATGTTTTTAGGAGTAAAATGATAATTTATTTCATAAATAATATTAAATTTTATGAACTCATTTTTAAGGATGACATGTTGAATGTAAATAATATTTTCATTTCCGGACAATATTCTTATTTCTAGAGAATGAACAAATAAGAATGAACGCAAAATAAGGTGTATAAGCAGATTAAAATGTGATCTATAGAAGGAAAAAAAACCATAAATGACATATGAACATAAAAAAATAAAAGAAAAATAAATTAAAGAATATAAATAACTCTAATCAATACAGAAATATAACAAATAGAATAGATCAATATTTGTAATATGAATAAGTTGGGGTTGCAAATTTTGATAATTTTGAGGATGCAAACTAAACAATTAAAATTTTGGGGGTGCAAAGTACATTAATTTGAAATTATCTTACTAATTACTAGTATAATATACATGGTTTTTAAAATGGATATATTCCACATACACCTCATGAGATTTGCTTAAATAAGAATTGTCCTCTATAGTTCTAGAAATTACAGCCTACCTTCTAAAGTTTCTAATTTATAACAAATGGCCCATTTTATCAATAAATCATTAAGTCAATTAACAGTTTTAATAATATCAAAAATATATTTCAATTAATAATTCAGAAAATTTTATTATTATATACAATAGCTATTAAAATTATCGTTTTTCTAGTCAAGTCTGTTAAATAAAAAATTCTTATAATGGGTATTTATAATTTTTGAAATCACATGAGACAATCAGTATTTTAAATATACCTCAGGGGTGTATTTGTAATTTACGCTTTTAAAATTTTTGGGGAAGCATAGTGTAAGTCACACTTAGGGTTGGTTTGGGAATAGTCTATTTTAGTTATTTTTTGAATTTTTAACTAAAATATGAAATGAAAAAAATTAGTATATTTTGGATGATGTTTTAATTTTTAATGAAAAATGTGTAAAAAGTAGAGAGAAAATAAAATTATGGACTTTTTATATATAGTTCTTTGGCTTTTTAATGTTTTTATTGATTTTTTTACTATTATAGGCCCGTTTAGGAATTGACTATTTTAGTTGATTTTTTTATTTTTATAAAAATATGCACAGAAAAATAAATAGAGTAATGTGGCGTATTAAAGTGACTTTTTGGCTATTTTATCTCATTCCCAAACAAGGCCATAGGATGTTGCCAAACTTGGCCTCGAGTACTTTTTCTAAGATAATGTAAATTTAAATTTAGTAAGATATGAGTCATACTTAAAATGATTATGATTCATCGATGCACTTACTTAAAAATTCTAATGCTATACATAATCTATTTTCTTATAAGATAATAGGAGTCATAGTAATAAACACATACAAGATTTAGAAGTTGTTTGGGATGTTCTAAATAAGTGAACTTTTTAACTTTTTATAAAATATGGGTTGGGTTTGAAGTGATGTGGTAAAGAGGTGATGTGACTTCAATAAGATGATGTGACTTAAATATGATAGTGACTTTTTGACTTTTTTAAGGGATGCCAAACCTAGCCACATGGGTTTGCAATGTCAAAATAAGATAAGAAATAAAATTAGAATAATCTTACATGCATCAATTAGTGTATTAATTGATGATGTGACATAATTTAAATTTTTTTTAGTATTTATAATGTGATTAATGAGTGGGATCAATAATAATGTCATAATCAGTACACTACTTGGTGCATATAGCATCACCGATAAAATTATGTATAGTATTTTCACTCCCAAAAAAATAAAAGGATATTTATCAATAAATCTCACCTTACAAACAAATATTCCAATTAGTCTCAATTTTTTTTCTATTGATCTGTTAAGTCTTACTAGTGAAGAGTTTCTTTCCGTGTGGTCCTATTTTTTATTTTGGTAGTGTTTTGGTAGACAATTATACCATTTTATTAATATGACAGGTACGATGTGATACTCCAATATGACAGGTATTAATATGACACTGTTGGCACCATAAAATATTATTATTATTATTATTTTCAAGACACGTGGCATCTTCTTATTCATTTGGAAGTTAAAAGAAGTTATAGAGATGATAAAGAATATGAAGGACAAAGTGGATGAGTGGAAGGATACATGGCAAGACAAGAATGAAGATAGAAGAAATGGGTAGTTACTAAGTAGTTATTACTGTATTTTTTCCTTTATAAATAGCCATTAATGGCTACATTGTAAGGGATCCGGAATTCATAATCAAAGATAATTGATTTCAATATTTCTTGTCATTTTCCTTATCTTAGGAGTAGTTTAACATAGATTTATATTTCGAAACATTTATTTTAAGCATTTCCATTTCGAAGTATTTTATGCACTTTCTTTACGAAGCATAGGGGTAGAGGTAAGTAATTATTACTTTGATTGTTCACTCAATCATCTTTCTCCGTCCCTCTTTCTTCTTTTACTTTTTCTTTTTTCTACACTTGACAATTTTGAAGTCCTCTTCGTTGAGGCAAAAGAACCATCAACACAATCGCTTGATAATTGACTTGAATTTAATCTGTAAGGACTAATTAATCCTTTCTGGCACGCTCGCAATTACAATAATAACCTTTGAAAGCCAAAAAAGTCAACATATATTTTTGACACGCCCAATGGGACGTCAAGTGTAATAAATGAAAAATGAATTGGATTTGTCTATTTCAAATAGCCTAGATGAAATTTATTGGCGTAAACAAGAAATTTTGGATCTTCAAGAAGAGATCTATTTTCTTGATGAAATAAATTTTTATCCCTCACAATATTATTTGGTGGAAGAAAAAAGACACCATTTAATTGGAGAAATTCATCAACTTGATATGGAAATTCGCCAATGGAATGATGAGTTATCAACTCTCACAACCAAGTCTTTAACTGAGGCCTTAATGGCCGGAATTAGTGAAATTTTTCAGAATTTTTTCATGGTTAAAAATAGCAAAAGCAAAAAGTTGATTTCATCAATGGCTCAGGGGTTCAAGAATCCATTTTTAAAGAGCCAAATTATGAAATTAACATAACGAAAGAGCATGTTCTTGAGTCAAATTTAGCTAAGAATGATGTTCCATACATGGCTCGAGGGGTCTCAAAACCAATTTTTAGAGAGTCAAGTCATGAAAATAACATATCTACGGGTGATTTTCATAAGTCATTAATGGCTAACATGGAAAAATAACCCACTTTGCCAAATAATTATGAAAATCTATTCGGCAAAAGTCATGTTTTTAAAACAAACATGGTCAAGAATAATGAACACACCATTGTTCATGAATTCAAAATTTTTGACATTTTTCAAAGTGTCAAAAAGTATGAATTTTCATGGTCACACTATATCATGACTTTTGTTATTCGAAATCCATTTTGGATTTGTGGATCACATCAAACGTTGACTTTGATGGAATGGCTAACAAATAATATTTCATTATTGCAATATATTGAGCCAAAAATATTGTTATTAGTTGATCCATAAAACCATCACATTTGGTTTTGTGGTTACCTTCGAAGCATGTCTCAAGACACTTCGAAGCAGATTATTCATTGAAATATCATTTTATAGCCATTTATGGCTAGTTAAAATGCCAAACTAATTTCATAATAATCTAACTCTTTGGATTTAGTTCGAAGAGATGTCGTGAGCACTTTCGAAGGACGACTTTAATCTTTTAGTAACATATGTGACTTTCGAAATGTGGTTTTGTCATCAATAAACACCTTCGAAATGTAACATGGGACAAGAAAGCTTTCAAAATGTGTACCTCCCTTCAAATATATGTAAAATGGCAATTAATTAATTATCGAATAATGCCTATTTTTGGCATGATAATTAATGGCTTTACTGATAACCATTTTTATAGCCATTTGTTACATGAAAATGTAACTAGTATTCTATAAAAGTTGGTTCGAAGAACAATGGTTTTGGTGTCTTCGGAGAATTAATAATTGGTTTAAAGCATAAAATTAATATTTCATTAATTATGTGTGAACCAAAACATACAAAATTTGAATAACCACAATGTTGGCCAAAAGTTGCTTCGAAAGCTCTTTTGCCATAATTTTGTAAGCTTCGCAGTACTCCATCTTGCATCAACAATAGCTTCAAAGAAAAAATAGTGATAGTTGTGAACC